TTGCTGTTTTTGTTATCTTTTATTTATATACATTATCATTCACGTGCGGTCTGAGGCATGGGTTTTGGCCGCTTGGATACTCAGATCGCGGGTTAAAATCCCGCTCAAGGCATAGACATCGGACATCCGTCATTCTGTGTTGTGCTGTCCTGTGAAACCAAAGGCCTTTCGACGAGTCCTGCCAAATGTCTAAACCGATTAATAATTTCATAAGCGTGCTGACCACACGTCACCCTATATCTGGTTGGATGATCGTTCACCTCTTCTTAGGCATGTGATCATGAGGCCAGCAGCCAGCTAGTAGGCTTTGTCACTCAGAGGGCTGTTACGCTACGAAAGTAATTCTAAATTAAAACAGACCGCAAGACCTAATCCGTAAATGTTGATGAACATGGATACCTTATTAGTGCGCTGTGTAGACGGGGAAGACATTAAAATCATGTTTATAGGTGGAATAAATATTTGTTCAGCAGAACTGACTGTCTCAATTTCTCTGGTAGAAAAATGTCAATTTTTAAACTGAAGCTTTGTGCTTGTAGCATTCAGTGGAGTACTTCGTAACAACTGCCAATACAAAGGAACAAGGTATGGAAGTTCTCCTATTCTCAGGAACTCCACAGAACAACATCCTTGAACTCAAAATAACAGTCGACTTTCTATTGTAAAATGAACTCACGAAATACTAACGTGTCTGTTTGCTTTCCCTTAAAAGTGTGCTGGAGTCATCCTGTTCTTCTGCGGATGTATGCAAGCTGTGACAATAACCTCGCTTCCGTACAGAGGTAAGTTCATTTCAGCACCTCCTCAAGGTCCTTTAGCCTCCGTCACACATCACGTAAGATGTTTCCGTACAGAAACATACATACACTTACACTTACTTTGGAAAGGTTCTAACCCACAAAGTTCGTTTAGACAAGATAAAGCCTACTTGCATAATTGTCAATTCTGTCATGTAATATGTTGCTTCCTTGAGATGACAAAGGCAGAACATCACAATTATGTAAATATGATCTAACAGACAGGTCTTGTTGAAATAAATTCTATGCTTTTTACACCCTCCGGTTAATCATTCATCTTTCCGTGACATCAGTAAAGCGATAATTTGCCCCACATATTAAGTTCACTAGAAGTCACGCGCAGAAATCGCTGAAATAACAGTGACACAGTGGCTCGGTATGGGGCAAGGTAGCCGGTTTTTGTGAACACTGTAATGAACCTTCAGAATTCTAAAAGGACGGGGAACTTCTTAAACAGTTGAGCGACTGTCACTTTCTCAAGATGGACCCTGCTCCGTGAACAAGCAATGTTTTAAACACGATACCGATGCAAAACAGTAGCTTACATCTGCTGTACCCTCTCACAACAGATCTTAGCATTGAGTCACATATTTTTATTATATGTGCTTCATGTAAATTTTGCCGTACATTTTATTTGTCGTGAAATATTCTTTGAGATCTCAGAATTATGTATTATTTCGCCAGAACAGTTTGGCGTGAAGTGTCTTTAATTGCGCTTGTTGCATAATTATAACACAAAAGTGATTCAGCAACAACTTGTCCTATTGTCTGGTGACTTTTACTACATCACACCATGACGCAGATCATCCGGGTTGTCACGCAGACTTCAAGATGAAGGCACAAAAACCTTCACTGTCCAGATGTCCATTTGTCAACATCTGATTTAAATCTGCGAGCTGTAAACTATAGACAAAATGAGAGTTGAGGTTCTCACGGTGGCGAGTACGAAGAGATGTCAGTCTTCTGAGTTGTTGCGCAGTGTAATCTGGTAGCAGTACACGACGTTTTAGAGGTGTTTGCTGCCTCCATCATCAGAGCGATCATGGAAGCAGCAGTTGCCTCTGAAACGTCGGCGAACTTCTACCAGATTACACTGCGCAACAAATCAGAAGACAAACATCTTCAGTAGATAAGACAATCGTTACTTCCAGAACAACGGCGCTAATCACGATAATGTTTCTATTAGTTCGCGGTCCAGGGTCTCTCTTGCTTAGCAGACCAATCAAATTTTCAACTTTCTTTTTCATGGAACCCAAAGGTCCATTACCGTGTTCACAGTAACATTCCACTGGTCCCTATCCTGAGTCAATTATACACAAACTATGACGCCCCATTTCTGTAACACCCATTTTAATATTATCATGCTACTACAAGCTTGAAATGGATGTCTCAATCGCTACGTGAACTACATGTCCCTAATATTTTCCAATTTGTAAAATATTTACTGTCCTTTTCAGGATTACGGCCGGTTATACGGCTTGAGCTAATCACAACATTTTTGTTGCACTATTCGTGAGTTTTAACATACGTGGCGTAAAAGCATTTGTCTTGTGTTTGGGCCCGGTTCATATCCCAACTGGCAGATTTTACTGAAACCGCAATTGATTTTCCAGTCTGTTCTGGCAAATTAAGAAATCGTACCTTAATATAAATCACTGTCTCATGGCAGTTTCATACTTTTCCCAACTCCGTTCCGCTGGGATAGCATTAAACGATGACCACACATTGGCAAATGGATTACACCTTCAGCTGAATTACTTGCCGAACTGTTAGAAGTTCATACAATCCAAAATATGGTAAAAGAGTTATTTAAAAGCGCCCAGTTCTTAACACCTACGTTAGCTCAGTCTACAAAGTGGCATACCACCAACACCCCATGGACCCACCCAGCCATGCTCTCTTTTCGACCGAAAAGTAATAAAAAGATTGTGGAAAAGCACCGGATATTAAGACGAAATATTTTAAATACTGGACAACACATGCAGTAGGTCTCTGTCTGTACACGTGTTGCTTTCGAAATGTTGTGGAGATATTAAGCATTTATTTGTAAATATTTTAATTAATTTTACGTACGAGTACTTATCACATTTGCATAAGGCACAACATGATTTCAAGTACTTTGGTGAATATCTAGTACTTTAATTAATGTTTACTCGTATTTTAAGGAAACATACATAAAGGAATCATTTGGACCCGGGGCGGGGGGGGGGGTATATATGCCTGTGCCTGTTTGTACTGTTGGTATACCAAACTGCAAAATGATGTGGTTTTCGAGGTATTAAATAGACCACGAAAGAAACTATCGTTGTCTTAAATACTGAGACTGTGTTCTGTACACCTCGTGTTACGCAACGCTGATGGAACACATCGCCGCTGTTGGCTGTGTGGGCCGCTGGGTTTCACACGCTATGCTGGCTTTCCGATGGTAATGCTATCAGACAATAGAAATGTATCATTACAGCTTACAACAGACTTTACGATAATGAAAATATACTTCACGGAACGTCTGCACAAGGTCATAACAGCCGTCAGTAAGTTTTCGTGACGACCCCAGCGTTGAACTTCCAGTCTCTTCGTATACCAACCGTCTACAGTGTGTTCGTTAATATGATGCAAAATGACGTGAAATAAAGCGACTTATAGCCAAGGTGCAAGCCTTAACGGTAGTGATACTGGATGTTTAAACTGGTTCTGCTGTGTTCCAGTGTATGAAGTACGTTCTAGTGAACCACGTTTTCCAAAGTGTTAGCAGGGCCAAAACGGTTAACATGCGATGTCTGTCCCTGGACTCTAGGTGTTGTGAATGGCGTCTCAACAACACATTTATATCTGCAACGTAACAGAGAAGACTATGGGATTTCATTTATTCTTTTATTTTTGTTACTAATAAAATACATTATTTCGTATTAATTACGTAATTTATTTCTGATAATTTAAGGAACTTTTTCGATAAGGTACTGAAAATTGATATAATTCAGTGCATTTATAAAACTGAATCAATGTTCTTGCTGAATATAAATAAACGCGAGATTTCAAGTTCTCACGGCGAGTATGAAGATGACTGTCTTCTGCTATGCTGCGCCGTGAAGTTTGATAAAACTTCTACCAGACTATTGGGCGCAACATCCCAGAATAGAGTTATCCTAGGAAATCTTACGTGTTAGGTGCGAAGGTTATTAAGCTTGGTCACAATGAATTGGGACAGTGGCTCAAGTTGTTATTAGGAGACACGCCAACTAACAGTTCAGGAAACGGCAATCATAATCTTCTGCAAAAATTCATGGACTCTGTAAGATTTGAGGTTGAATCGCCCAGATGACGGAGGCAGTATGACCTCTGAAACGTTGGTTAACATCGACCAGACTACACAGCGCAACAACCCAGAAGACAGAAATCTTCATACTCATCGCCCTGATGACGGAGGCAGTATGACCTCTGAAACGTTGGTTAACATCGACCAGACTACACAGCGCAACAACCCAGAAGACAGAAATCTTCATATTCATCACCCTGATGACAGAGGCAGTATGACCTCTCAAACGTTGGTGTTACATGCATGAGCGCATTCGATCATTTTGTGTACCAGTTTGTTGTCTTATCCACGAAATAAGAGCTGGACAATCAGGGGTGGGAAATTGCTTTATTTGGAGGGGCTGCGGGCTAGAGGGCCTGAGAAAACAATTTAGCATTTCAGAAACTACAGTTGTCAATTGTCTGTCCCTTTGAACATAATTTATAGGTACATCAGAAGACATAAAAAGTGGCATTATTGATAATTCATTCGGACTGGATATCTTGAACACTAATCGGTATGTCACACATTAAATATAATCTGGAATGAGTCCCACTGGACCTTCTTATATGTAGTTGCAGGTGTAGTAAATACATGAACCAGGAGCCCAACATTTTTATTTCCGTAAAGTTCTCGATTTCATTTCTCTGTACTATACTCGTACATGGGAAGTAGTTTTCTCATCCGCGTTCTAGACCGTTCACATCCTGGCACGATTGATTAGCCCGTCGTGTTAGATGACCACCATTATCACACCACCACATCAGGTATAGAGACGTTATTGAGATTAAGATGGCTGTCTTCTGGGTTGCAGCGACGTGCAGTCTGGCATAAATTTACCAACGTTTCAGATGTCTTTGCTGCCTCTGAAACGTCGCTAAAGTTCTACCAGACTACACGGCGCTTCAACCCAGAAGACAGCCATCTTCATACTCGCCGTTGTGATAACCTCAAATCCTACTTAGTTACTGAGATGGATTTCAATAATTTAGTCACAATTATTTTCTTACCGTTACATTCAAGACTTGATGTTGCATTTATAGAATTTAAAAGTTATTATGCCGAAAAATCAAAATGTTGTGGTTAAAAATAATGAATATATTATAGTAAAGGGCAATTTCAATAAATAATACGCAAGTGTGTCTAATATTTATAAAACATCTGCTTACACTTAATAATTAATATTTTATTAGTACAGAGTGAATCACTTCCTCTATAGCCCTAGAGTTCTGAACATTTATAAAGACTGGGTAAAATTACTTTTACTGCATTTGAATATTATCGTAACATTCTTTTCGCGATGTTGAACCTTTAGTCGGATTTTGTCCATCTGTGTTATATTTACAGATACACTTTCTGCAATTCTTCAGTTATCTTATGTTAAATCCGCCACTGACAATGTCACATAGCAGAAGCCAACGGGAATCCCCACAGAGGTTTTTCTTTTGCTACTGGTTATCTTTAGTAACCAGACATCACGACAGGCGAACCAAGCGGCCACCCATCTTTTGTTTTTGTTACACGGCGATGACGATTACTTTCTGAACCTCCTTTGTTCACATAATTCAAAGTGACAGTCATCTAAACATGTTATGTAACATTACAAGCAAAACTGTGAACTGCAACTGTCTAATCTGTGGTCTTAGTTCGTGTAATTAATTCTGAAGAAGTTTTGAAAACATTTGGCTGTTTTAAAATGTGCGCGGGCGCGAAATTTCTTGCCTCAAATTGTACCTTGTTAAATTTGTTATTGTACCAGCAATCAACAGCATTTCGCACGACTGTAGTCTTCAGTTGTCGGCTTTGGCAATAAACAAAGAATGAAAAGTGTTGATTGTAATTGAATTTTATAGTCGTAATAAAGTAATTATTCTATTATAGACAGGGAAGAACTACACAAAATAATTTCACACGGAATACAGTCCTTCTTTAACGCCTACGTTATTCTGATATCCACATAAGACAGAGTGACGGACCAGGGCTTTCATGTTCCCAGTGCAAAGTAAAGAAACTACAGTAATTCAATTCTTTGAATATCTTTGACGATGGTGTTATATTACTACTGACTAATTGTTTTGGGCTTTATTCATCTTCTGTTACAAGTTTCTCAAAAATTACAAAAAAAAACTTTTCGACGGATGGCTTTTCCTTCTTCTGTAGGTAAAAAGGAGGAGACACCTGCTCTTTTGGATCCCGTAGATCTAGTTTTACTTGACGAAACGTTGCAATTTTTTTAAGAAACAATAGACTGTGGATAAAGTACAAAACACAGAAAGTGGTCCAGCGTTTCAGTCCCTCACAGAATGGGTTCGGTTTCACCAGGAAATGAACCAGGTTTCAGACTTCCAAGAGGCACGGCCACGTTTCTGGAGCAGGACGAAGGAAACAGAATCCGAAGAGAGATGATGGCTGAGAGGGCAACTCTTGGTTTCTACGGTGGCAGTGACTACGACGCGCATGGCTACGACAAACAGAACTACGACGCTAGACGTATCTACGATGATGGAAACAGATATTTCGGCAATGAAATAGACAAGGACCTGTACCTCGAGAAGAGATTACGAGATTATTACCCAAATTACAACCCTGAAGGAAGTTCCAGTAATACTCGGGGTGAGTAATAAAGTGTAACTAAACAATTGCGACAACAATGTTCTCGTCGGCACTAATGGGACTGCATTCCTTATTCATTTCGCGTGCAGAGATCCACATTTTTGAACTCAAATTTTGTAGCTTATACTTTGAACTGAACTTTCAGTCTTTCGCTTCAATCCTGTAAACGCGGGAAACAGTTGTGCTTCATCAGACCATGTTTCCATCTACAATAGAAAGGTATACACATTTCTTAAATTCCTTATTTGATATTAAGTTCATTCGCTCTGAGTAATATTTATTGCAGATCACTCGGATTTTCCGAATAAAATTTTGTATGCATGTGTCGTCTTCCCTTTGCATGCCTTCCTTGTCCCATTCTCCTTGCTTTGGTTGCCCGAAATATGCCTTCCAAATCACTCGATAAAAATAATAAAATACATTGTTTACCACACCATGAAATATGCACCAAATTTAAGTGTAGCATTGTTCGGTGAAGAGTACATATGACGAAGCTCCTCGTTACGCGATTATCTTCATTCTCCTGTTACTTTCTGTCAGATCAAGATATTCTTCTCAGTCACCCCCAGTTTATGATTTCCCCTCAACTTGGGAGACTACTTTCAAGTCTGTATAAAACAGCAGATAAAATTATTGTTTTTATAATATTTAGGTTTTTTGACAGACGGGAACGCAAAAGATTCTGAACTGAATGTTAGCAATTGATCTTCGAAATTAATCTGCTCTCATCTAATTTCATCCGGGACATTTATTTCAGAACTGTACTGCGATCCACGAGGAAGGCCATATGACAACCGTGGAACATCGGGCTACAGCTCGACCAGCGGTGGGTACAACAGCCGTGGAGGATATGAGGACAGAGGACGTGGAGCGTATAATGGAGGCAGAGGTCGAGCATATGAAGATCGCAACAGAGGATACCAGCCAGTGTATGACAGAAACAGAGGCGGTATTGCAGAACAAGAAGATAGACTGACTGGCGGAAGAGGATATTACAGCAACAGAGACGCAGCTGATAACGTTGGAGAAGGGACCGTTGGATTTTACGGGAGAAATAGAAGGCCATAGTAATTTTTCTCAACTCAGGAAGTTCAAAAGTCAGAAAGCTGAACAGATAACTTACAATTTGCGAATTTCAATAGTCTACTACAGTATAGAGATGATAATCGACGTCGATAATTCATTTTAAAGCGATATTTCTTAAATAATTTAACATGTGACTTATTTCACTTCGCTATCACTCATACTCTCACCCTCAACCCGACGATTATGAAGGGGTTCATTTAGGTGCTATCCCACACCATAATAAGTGACGAGCGGGGTAAGAGCTCCAATTAGTAGCAAAAATCAGATTTCCATCTCTGTCGAGATATACAATCAGAGTCACCCAGGATTCGTCAAGAATGTTACAGTGAGCACATTAACTCTGAGACTATCCGTTTGGTGTTAAAATTATTCATGTGGACTTTCACTTACCCGAATTCCCACCTTGTGCTGATCCACTCTGCCCGACAGATGCAACATCGCCCGTCACTGAAGTAGGATGGGTGTAGTTGATGAACGAGTCGGTCGAAGTGAACGACTCATTCGTGAGAGCTGCGAAGTCTCCTCTGTGGAAGAGACGTTCATGAACGATGCCTTCCTTCCTGCCCACGGAGTCACAAACGATTACAAAAAATGAACGAAGGTTGTCGATTCGTCAATGAATTGTTGTTATAATGCTAAGACTCAAAACACGCAATCGCCGCCATGCTAGGTGCACACTACGTTACTCAAGTGAAACATATGCTACAGCTCTGGAAACTGCATTTCCCAACAATTCGTTTTTTAACTGGTCTCGTTTAATAAATATGCAATATATAATATTAGTTAATTAATAAAACACCAGTTTAAGTTGTTCTTTGTTGTAATGTACATTGATATAACTTCGTTTATTATTTATTTGACTTACTATTGAGAAACGAGATATGAGGCCTGTGAATGGACAAAACTTACCTACGAGGAAATGGCCTACTGTCATTGTAGTAAATCGCATATGGATAAAACTTGGAGCTTGACTGATTAAAAAAGAGCTCTTATTAGCAAAATTATTACGAAGTACAATTAGGCATGTTACACACGGACTGCTCGGTGCTGACACCTGGAAACAAACTACTGTTTTAAACGAACGCGTTCACGCAAGACTCTTTGTTATGCCTGCTAGTGAACAACACAGAAACACAGCTACGGTAAAAGTTATTTTAAAATGTTGTACACTTTTCAAAGCGAAAATGACAAAAAACATTACTGATAAATTCACTTTGTTTTACCCTCTTTACATTCTATACGTATTTATTTAGCTTCATTCTGTACATATTTATTTACTTACCGTTTATTTAGGATTAACATAATATCTAAAATTATTAGGGTTCTTTTTGAGCCTGCTACAAATTGTTAATGCTGGAATCTAACTTAAAGCTGATAATTCTGCTTTTCGAAGAACGGTGGCAGCAATGATCACTACTGACTGTGGGCACCTGTACAGACCACTCGGTGTCGCCACCTAGTAGTTCTCAAACAAAATAAATTCTCAACTAGTTCTAAACCAACTGACGGGCGGTTCGCACCATGACTATCACGCCCTGAGTCACCGACACTTCAGGAAGCTTCTTGATATTTCCGGCAATGTTTTCAAGGAAAAGATGCACAAGCGCCGAGGATCACGAATTAATAGGTCGTAATCGTGCTACCTCACGCATACGTCATGTTGGTTCTACCGAATGTTGGAAATAAAACAGCATGAGTGAGAAGCAGTCTCCAGTGACATAACGTCCACACCGGATTTCATGGAAATCCGTTTGACTCTTCCCGAAACTTTTGTTCCTAAGGCTACCGAGAAGTGGCAACACGAATTCAGCCGAAAGTGCGACTGACATTAAAGCACAGAGAACTTCTAAAACTAATATTGGAGTGAGAACTGGAATTACGTTACGCCCGACGTGTCTTCAGAGTTTTAATGATAAATGGCTAGATGCCGCTTTTAAGAATTCTGCTTAAATGAACAGATGTGCACCAACTAGAAGTAGGTAGGCTATTATTAACTAATTTGCTCACTTCATGGTAACTCAGCTGGTCTAGAAATTTTCCGGTCTTCATATAACCTGGAAGGTTTATTTTTGTTTTCCAATAGCCCTCCACGTTTGCTTTTCTGAGACAGGTGGATCCAGTCCACAGGATATGGTTTGTCCTTCCACATTTGTGTTTTTTGTGCAAGTTAAAAGGAGTCGTGACATCATGGCATGACGGGTCTAGACCTGTCTCGCACGTAGACGTTGAAATACAGACATAGAACGGCCTTCTCACGTCTGCACTCTGTCCATGTTTCGGGTTCATTGACATCTGACGAGAATCTTAGTCTTGAGTCGGGTTTAACTTTCTATGTTGGTAATGCACATTATATCTGGCTGTTAATTCTGAAGCCTCGCCGACACAATTGCCGTCCTGGGGCCGTTCTGTGTGTTCCTATTTTCGATGTAGGCCTACAGAACGATTTTTTAAAACCGCAAGTAACTGGATGATCACCTTTTGACATTTATGAGTACTGTATTTTTCCTTTATGTTTTCCCAGGTGAAGGTAGGAGAGTCTTAGTAGGCATCCCTCTCTCTTACGTACACCAGAGACGGTGGACAACATCCAAAGTAACAGTTGAGCTTTTTGTAACACACCTTCGTCAGAACCTTTGTGACTTAGCGTTACCTTTGTTTTTCCTATACAAATTCATGATGTGTTACGTGTTAAGAATGCATGGATGTTTACCTCCATTCGTCTTCATGGCGTGGATGTTACGTGTTAAGAATGCTTGGATATTTACCTCCATTCGTCTTCATGGCGTGGTGGATCTTTCAAAAACAGAAAGATGAAAGCGTTTTAGTTATTAATATCACCAAGCATGTTCCTTATGTTGTAGCGGTTGAATTATTTAGTGACTGTGCTAACTGCAGATGCTGTACCTTCGGTCGTAGAACGTTTGAATTGTATTCGGGAAGTCAATAATTCAAATCTCAGCCGATCGTAATAGATTTTATTGTGATTTTTCCGCATGTCCTCTGCACAAATTGCAAGATAGCCTGCTACTTTAACAGTATAGTTGCTTCCTTAAACTTCCTCGTCCGTCATGCTCACTATTCTTATATATCCGTTTCCTCACCGGCTACAGCCCTCTGACGTCGAATTGTAGTTGGATTTTTGCCCCGTATTCAGGTCTCTTATTCGAGTATCGACCCCAAGACCGAGAGTTTTTCGTGTTTTTCTAGTCTCTCCGTTTAAATTCTATTGTACTAGCCAATACATACTTTCGTAATCACTTCTCATTTGACACATTTATTAAATACACAGAAACACAAATAGTCTTTACCGTTATTAAGTCTTATTTCGAAAATATTCATTTCATGAGGTGGAAAATCTGCGTCGAGGCTTTCAAATAAAATTCTTGTTGTGACGTAGACATTGGTCTCTTCTTCATCACCCAATATGAACTCTTTTCTCGTATTTTTTTTTTTTTTTTGGGGGGGGAGGTTGAACTATAAACTCTACTCTCAACCGTGGAGTTAATCTCACGAAAATTCTTTTATATGGACAGTGTCTATGAAGTCAAATGTAATTTTAATCCTCTACAAGAAGGTGGGCAAATTACGATCTGCAAGCAGGAAGCTTTCCTCAGCGATGTTCTATATATTATTATTAATAACCTAACCGTGTTGTGGATTATGGAAATTACAGTAAATAAACTATTAGAAGCAGGGATGTTGATCAAAATGCACGTGTTGGGGCCAATACCACACTCAGACGTTAATAATCTACACTTACCGTATTTACATCTGGGCATGAGAACATCAAATTCAGCCCATCTCATATTCCGTTTAACTCATGTCTTAACATCTCGAAAAACAGCCAATAAGGTTGAACGGTGTATCAGAAAAGAATTATTAACGAATTTATCTTTTATACCTTCTGATGTCATTGTAAATCCACAATTTTTCTTTTGAGGCTTTTCCGTTTCGACTTCAAACTATGCCCTTCAAGCCTCCGAGCAATAACAAATAATTGTCCGCTCTTGTTGTATTGAAATGTAAGTCACTCGCTCCAGAGCCTGCCTTAATTTTACCCACTGAAATGGTTAAGTTGGATAGTGATGATGAAATATCAACACCCCGCCGTTGGCGGAGCAGCTGATTGTCGTCCGTTTGCCACAAAATGGTTGATTACTTCACGAATCGACTGAGTGTACGAGAGGAATGTAGGTTCAGTGAAGAAATTTGTTCCACATTTCCATTCTCTCCTGGAACATTCCGTTAAATTCTTTAGTAAAGAAGATGCTAATAGAACCATGAAATGTGTGACGAACTGTAGCAGAATGACCCAGAGACCGGCGTCCTATTTTGCCTTTCATTAAGTGAGGTAGATGTTCCTGCTGTGTTATTTAGAGCTGACTTCAGCAATAGACGAATTTCTTTGAGAGAAAATATTTATAAGTGGTATGAGTACGTAGGCCTACGATTGTTTATAAAGTATAGGGGAGAAGGGCAAGTTGTTATATTTTAGTTTAAAAATCACTCATTTGCAGCAGCATCTCACGAGTCTCGTATCAATTGCGTCTCCCCTGTGCGCAGTTCTACCCGAGATATGGTACTTGTAGCTTGTGTATTACGTGAGCTAGGTTGATTTAAGTGTTTTTACCAATAAAAAGTAAAACAAATATCTGACTTTGGCTTTCTTTAAAATTTCCTTAGGCTCTTTATATTAAGAGCAATGCGTGTACTTCGTTCTACACTTCGGTCGAATATTGAAACTGCTTTGACCGTAAAATCAAAATGGTGGTCCGTGGTGGCAGTTGTTACACTAGACAAGGGGCACCTTGTTGCAGACCTATATCTTTTGAAATAACTTGCGTTGGCAAATGATTGCATTTTATTTTTTTATCATGAAAGATGGTACGAACGTACAAAAGGAAGACTAATAGAGGTAATACAAGTTTGGAAACGTTTAAGTTAGCAGCTGATGAAGTCTCTTCTGGAAGAATCTCGTTAAGGCAAGCTGCTTATATATGATGAAAATGTTTCATATGTTTGAAGTTAATTTCTGTAATTAATTGTTAATTGGTATATTGTCTGTAATTAATTACTTAATATAGGTCAGAATTGTTCCTTCTGTTTACTAATACAGTGTGTTGTAACATTTTTCCCTTTCACTGTAACAACTAGTACCATAACAAGGGCACATTTTTACAAACCGTGATGAAACAAATATGAATAGGCCTTTGAAAAAATGTTATTAATATAGCAGAATAGTAGTAGTACCTGAAGCCATAATTGCTAACTTTGTAAATTTTAAGAATAAATGCACAAAAAATCGTAATTTAAAATTGTACGAACTAGCCCCCTTCGCCCCTACATATTCACGCTCAATTATTATTTTTCTTAAAAATATTTGACTAAATGTCCTATGAAATATTCAGCGCCAAACTTTCTTTTTACACAAAGTAATTCCGACGTTTGAACGAATTTTAGAGATTCTTGGAAGACATGTCTTTTCTTTCCAGCGCTATTCCTTAATGCCTGTTACACCTACATCTCATCAGTCTATCGTTTTCTGTATCCTAAAACGTCTATTTACAAAGCGGTTTATACGTATTTGGGTATTCTTTTGACTTCCATCTTTAGGACCTGCTCTATTCACTTATTTCTGTAATACAAATAATTATAAGCTTATCAATTCGTGTGTGTTATTTATTTTCTGATCGATTCCACTACCAGTGCACGGAGAAAGTCGTTTTAATTTTGCGTCGTTCTATCACTGCTTATAAAAGGGAAATTAATGCCAACGAGTGGTCATAATTTTAGGAAATAAACAGACTGCCTGGTATTGAGCCACGTCAATGTAGTTTCAGACGTGTTTTTCTAAAAAAACATTATGACGAGTCACTTGAAAAGCTTCAAGAAAATAAATTATAAACGCTTGTCGATGTTTCCACTAAGATGATTCAATTTCTATGCTCTTATTTGGAGACCGAGAAGGAGATGCAGTGACAGTGTTACCGATATTCATAACTTCTTTCGTGCCACATGTCTTCTGTATTAAACAATATGAAGAAATTTGTGAGCATCATGAAGTGGCCCAGTGATATGTAACAAAGGAAGTGATTAATGTAAGATTTGAGGTTTTCACAGCGGTGAGTATGAAGATTTACGTCTTCTGAATCGCCCTGATGACGGAGGCAGTGTGACCTCTGAAATCTTCATACTCATCGTCCTGATGACGGAGGCAGTATGACCTCTGAAACGTTGGTTAACATCGACCAGACTACACAGCGCAACAACCCAGAAGACAAAAATCTTCATACTCATCACCCTGATGACGGAGGCAGTATGACCTCAGAAACGTTGGTAAACATCGACCAGACTACAAAGCGCAACAACCCAGAAGACAGAAATCTTCATACTCATCGCCCTGATGACAGAGGCAGTATGACCTCTGAAACGTTGGTTAACATCGACCAGACTACACAGAGCAACAATCCAGAAGACAGAAATCGTCGTACTCATCGCCCTGATGATGGAGGCAGTATGACCTCTGAAACGTTGGCTAACATCGACCAGACTACACAGCGCAACAACCCAGAAGACAAAAATCTTCATACTCATCGTCCTGATGACGGAGGCAGTATGACCTCTGAAACGTTGG